AATATAGTTTTACAATTTATAAATTTTGATATAATTTTATCTTTTTCAAAATTTTTTAATAAGGTTTTAATATAATTTTACTAAATTTTATCTTTTTTATTTAGAAGACTTGCAAAATCTCTAAATTTTATTATACAACTTTAATCATAATAAATTGAATAAAATTGAAGGAAAAAGTAATTTTTATAGGTTTAAATTAATTTTTTTATTAACAAATTAAAACTCATAAAAAGTTATAAAATTTACAAGAGAATTAATTTATAACTTAAGTAATAAATTATTCTATTATATAAATTAATTTGCTATAGCTAACTATTTTTATTATACTATAAACTAACTATATTTGTAAATTTAAGTATAATTAGTTCTAAAGCATTAATAAAAGACTGTATATATTTTATATATTTTAATATTCTGATATTCGTTCACTTATCTTATGAGTTAATATTTATTAGTACATATTGTTATACTACTGATTTATTACAAATTACGTTATTATGTAAATTTAAAAGAAGTTGTATTTTTAATGCTTTAGAATTATAAATATTCTCCATTATTTAGTATAATAATACAATAAAATAAAATATAAATATAAAATATAAAATAAATAATAATAAAAATTATAATATTTAAAAATTTAACAAATTAAACTAATTAAATAAATTAAGTAAATCAAATAAATACTATAAATTTTACAAATTAGATGAATCAATCTGATATTCTTGATATAGTATATCAATCAATTTAATAATATAATACAAGATCTTCCTTATATAATCTATATAAAATTAAAAACTAATATCTTTTACAATCATTTTTTAGAATTAATTTTAATATTAATAATATATATAATCTAATTTACAAATTACTATTAATATATTTAAGTTAATATAATTATATTTACTATTTTTATTTAATAAATTATATATTTTATTTAATTTTTTAATTTAAATTTTGTACTAGTTAAATATTAATATTATTAATATTATTATCAATTTAATAAATATATATATATATAAAAATAATTTTATAATTTTAATTAATCATTATTTTAAAATATTTATTATTTATATTATTTTTAGTATTTTAATATATTTTTATTATATTTTTATTTTACAAAATATTATTTTATAACTAAATAATTTGTTAAAATAAAATAATTTTATATAAAATATATTAATCTTTGCTAAAATTATAAATTAACTCTTATATAAGTTGTTAGAATTTTTATACAAGTTTTAAAAATCTTTACAAATTTTAAGTTATTAATAAAAAAATCAATTAAAATTTATAAAATTACTTTTTTTTTAAAATTATCTTTCATCTAAAATTTAATTATAATACTTTATATTAACTCATTTTTAAGTTTATTATAATATAATAGATACCTATAAAAATTAACTTTTCTTATTACTTGAACATTTTTTATAATTTTATATAAAGAGAGGAAAAGTATTAAGTTTTACTTAATATTTGTAAAGCTGAATTGAAAATTGCTATATATACAATAAAAAGAGAAAAATAAATTTAATTTTTTTTTTATTAAATGTAACCTTTATATATAGTATTATTTATATATTGTATTCCCTTTAAAATGGTATCTAATTTCTTATTTAATATCTATAAGTACTATTTAATTTGAAAAATTATATTTTAATTAAGACTTTAAATATTTTATATAGTAGTATACAATAATTTTAAAATTAAAACAAAACTGAAAAATATATAAACTTGATAAAAAACTAAATTTAAACTTTAAAAATCTGTTAAATAATAAATAATTTTGGCTTAAATATTTTAAATGTAAAAATATTTTAATCAAAAACATTTAGAAATTATTTATAAATTTGTGATTATGACCATAAGATATTTTAATATAAAAAATTAGTTTTTAAATTAAGAATTATTCTGTTATAAGATATATATTTAATACTAAAAAATATAAAGGTATTTTATATAATATATGTAAATGCTTATTGAAATTATTTTTTATTTTAAATTATTATTAATTAGTATAATCTATTAAATTTTACTTCTTATTATTTTCTACTTCTTTAATTGCTTATATTTTTTATAAATTATTATTATCATTAATCTGCATTTTATCTATTATTATTTGTCCTAAAGATTCTTATTTATTTTTCTACTAAATTATATAAAATCAATGAAATTTTTATTAAATTTGTTGCTATTTTAGTATTTTTAGTCTATAATTCTTTTAATAATTGGAATTTATTTTTTAGCTAATCAAATGATTGTTTTAATTTGCTATATTTTTATTGAAGTCACTTTATCTATTTCTATTTAAATTGGATTTTTAATGATTAGAGAAATTGAATAGGCTTTATATAATCAATTTCTTTAAAAAGTTGATTTTTATATAGAGTTTTTAAATACTTTTGCATTATGAACAGATGCTAAATATTCAATATTATTTTTGTGTAAAATATACATCTTTATTAGATCCATCTAATACACCAATTATATAAGGAAATTTTCAAATCCTTTATGAACTTTCTGACAATAATTTTCACATGATCAAATAATTGCTTCAATTTTAAAGATTTTAAAGCTTCAACAATTCTTAAAATAAATAAAGGTATACTATTCTCTGCTATTCCGAATTTTGAACAAATATTCCAAATTGTTGCTTTTCCACCTAATCTATATAAAACTACAGCAAGTTGTTTTTTCTACTGGAGTTTGTTTTTATGAGAAATATCTTTAAAAATTTCATGATTTTTTATTTTATTAACTAATATCCAAAATTTTGATTGATTTATTCTTAAAGTTCTTCGAAATCTAATATCCATAATTAAATAAAATATTTGAATACCAATGATCCGATTTTAAATGAATATTTATAATTCGAGGTGTTGGTTTAAATGAGAATTAATAAAATTAATTAAGTTCTCATCATAACAGGGATTAATTTCTTCTATATTATTGTCCTCGATTAAATCTAAAATTTCAAAAACCTCAACGAATGACTGAAATAGTAAAAAGGATTCATTTTGAAAATATTAATAAGAATAATTGATTTTAAAAACCTTAGAATTTATTATTTCGAGATTTTTATAAAATATTGATCATGTGATTTTGTCATACCAAGATGACAGATTATAAATAAATGAAAAAAAATTTTTTTCTCCTTTTTATTTCATGAAACAAACATAAAATGGTAAAAAAAAAATTCACTAATTCATTTTCGAATTGCTCATTCAACAATATTAAATTTTCTCTTTTTTAAAAAATAATTTAGTCAACACCAATAATAATTGGATTAGGAATAGCAGTAGCGGCAACCGCTGGTAGATTCGCAATAAAAGCTGCACAAAAATATAAACCAAGCATTAGTGGAAGTATAGTTACTAGTAGATATTATAAAGGAGGTTTCGATACTAAAATAAATAAACGCGAAGCTGCTTTAATCTTAGGTTTAAGGTATGGTTTACTGGTTAGAGAATTCCTATAATATCTTCTTTTATTTATAATACTTTGTCACTTTAAATAGGGAAACAGGGATTAATAAAGCTAAAATTAAAGAGGCCCATAGAAGAATTATGTTACTTAATCATCCTGATCGTGGTGGTTCTCCTTATTTAGCTAGTAAAATTAACGAAGCAAAGGATTTTCTTGAGAAAAGCGTTAAATCATGAAAGAGCTGTGTTTTGGGGGGTTTACATTGGACATTTATCATTATCATTAAAAGGTTCGACAATTTTGCATTTAGTTGTTAAAGTATTTTAGAAAAGTAATTATAATTTAAACGAATAGATCTCATAATAAACTTAGGATCTATTTCCTATAATTATAAAAAGAAATCATTTGTTTATTTATTTATTTTACCTTTCATTCTCATGATTCTATTTTTAGTTGTTAATTAAAATTCATCGAATTCCACTTAATATTCAACAAAATATTCAACAAAATCAAAATTTAAGGATGAAATATTTAATAACGAGAGATAATTGGTGCAGTTAGAAAGAACAGTTAGTACATTATAATAATTAATATAAAACATAGTATCAGTACAAGTCTGTCAACAGATAAGAAGAAATAAAGCTCATATAATAAAATATTTTTACTTGCCTCGGTTATAGTAGTTTTGATATTTCGCGTTTTTCAAAAGCCTACACTACGTGGCATTTATTGTTTGCGGTCTATTGAACCCGCATAATGTGGGACACCAATCCTTATAAAATCATATGGGTATATTAAAAAATTGAGGCCATTTGAGGTCATTCAAGGTCATTTAAAGGTACAAATATCTCACCATATGTGATCGAAAATACGGTCGGACAGATCGTATTTAAAGGTGTTCTCGATGTGTAAATGTAAACTTTTATTGGTCAATTTTATTTTTAAACCGTTACACTTCATATTTTAAGTGAAATATTTATTTAATACATTTTAATACATAAAATATGAATATATGTTTTTTTTTTGTCATTCTAACGATGAGAATTTATGTATAACTAAACAAATTGATGCGTATTTCCATTTCCCATTGTTATCCCAAGGTAATAAAAGGGTCTTTTTTTTTAAAAAAAAAAAACTCGCATGCATTTTTGTTTAAGCATGACACATGAGCATTCGAAATTTACTTGTATTGACATAATATGTTTATTAAAGAACCTTAAGAAAAGTTTTATCAATCGAAAATAAAAAACGTTGGATAAAAACTTTAATACATTTATTATTATTATACAAATCTGAATGTCTGAATTAAAATTTTTTAAGTTGTTGTTGTTGTTTACAATTATAATCAAAAAAATTACAGAGAAAATTATACAAAAACATGAATGAAATTTACTATATATATTACTACTATTTCAATTTTTTTTTTTTTTTTAAAAAAAAAAAAAATAAACAAAAAAAAAAAAAAAAAATTGGAAAAATTGTAATGAATGAAAAAAATTTATGGGTAATCTATTTTCTAAACAACGAACTTTTTTTTTAAAAAAATAAAAATAAAATAAAAAAAATAAATGAAAATTTTAAATTACTCGTTTTTTAATCGGTTTCATTTCGAAACGTTGGTTATCAAATTGAGGGAAAGCATCAACTAATTTACTTAAATTTCCTTCAACTTCTTGAAATTTTAATAGTTTTCGTTCTTCAGGTGCCAAAAATTCTGCATCTTGAGTTATGAAACGATGTTTTAACGCTTTACTTACGCGTTTAAACATACGCTGGGTATACATTGCTTCTTCTTTTTCATTTGATATAACGAATCTTTGACGTTCACATAATGTTGGATCTTCAAGGCGGGAAAGATTTTCGGCTAATGTGTTAAAATACATTTTGTGAATATCTTTTCGTGAATACCCATCCTACATTGATTAACAGTGTTTGTTAATTAATTAATTTATTTATTTTTTCAAATTTTAGATGTGGAATAAATATAATTACCTGAGCGGGATATCTTGGAGGTAGTTTATCGACATTGGCATTTAATTTAGCCAACTCAATTTTATCCAACTGATCAGTGGTTAAAGAAACGCGTTGATTTAGAAATGCTTCAAAAGCTGGACTTTTCAATTTCCTTGCGACTTCATCAACAATAGTATCATGAGCCAATCGTATTTCCAATTGTTTTTTACATGAAGCACATTTACAACTTGGTAAATGAGGTATTGTTGAACCTTTAATCGCAACAGAAGACAATGCATGTTTTGTTGCAGGTGAAACAGGTTCACTTTTTGCTGTTATTCTTGGAGGTGAAGAATCATTATGAACATGTATCGTACACCTGTTCCGACTTCTTTGAACTAATGGGGCTGGTGTCGTTACAGAACATGAACGGGATCTTAAAGGCATGATTATTTATTTAAAAGAAAGGAATGAAAGAATTTATTGAAAAAAAGGAGGGTAATTATTTTTTTTGGAAAAAAAAAAAAAAAAAAAAAAAAAAAAAAAAAAAAAAAAAAAAAAATTTTTAAAAGGAGAGAATTGAAATATTTGTAAATGTTGTAAAGCATATATATATATATATACGTTTCGAATGTATGCGGGCGATTTTTTATTTATTGCATAATTAAGAATAACAAGCTTGTACCACGCACATTTATAACCACACGGAATTCTTTTATAAAAGAACAATTATATTGTTGGTAATACATTCGAAAATCCTATTCAAAAAGAATATGGATTCTTATAAACGAGGGAAAATCATAAAAATGTCTAATACCTTGCAATACTTTACTTAGCAGGGAAATCTTCAAAGTTTTCCCGTTACAAAAAATATTTTATCAAAGTGATCTAATCTTTTTGTGAGGAATTTGAAAGGTTAGGTAAATAAATATTTTGTGTAAACTAATAACCTTGCATATTGTACGATTCGTGTCTTTAAAATCAACAAATCCAATAATCCCAATGCATCTTTTTTATGTTGGAAAGAGATCATTATGGGATCATTTAATTGGTTACAACATAGAAAATCGTGTTATCATCTAACCCATTTTTTATTGAAAGTAATAATTTTTTTTTTTTTAAAGTATTTATTTTGTTTTGATGTGGCAGAACTTCAATTGGGCTTTTTAACAATAAAAAAATTTTTTTGGGTTTATATGTTGTACGAGGTAGATTCGAATTGATTGGTAAAAAATGAAATAAAATATTACATATTTAGTAACCACGCATATCGGAATTTTATATTGCGGATAACGGATAACTTTCTTTGGTGTAATAATTTCGGGAGGAAAATTCGGAATATATATACCTTATCTGTGGGATTTTGTGGAGTGAATATTTAAAAAGGAAATTGCACTCTTTTCATGTGGATCTTAAATTTATATGTTAAATACAGTATACCCAAATAATCTTGGCAGAACAAAAGGGAAATTTTCAGAAATAGAAAAAAAACCCCCTCTCCTCATTGACTTAATATGTTTGTTCTTCTGAATAGATGGTTAAAAATGGTTAAAATTTTTTAATTTTCTCTATTTTAGAGACACTTAAGGTCCATTCTTTAGTCACATTTTGGTTCATACTGTCACCGCTCACACGAATCAAGTCGTATGACTATTCAATTAAATGGAATTAAAAAACATGTTCGGATCATATGATTTACTATGTCCGAAAATTTTTTTCTACATTAAAATAATTAATTGTATTCCTAATATCAGAAAATTTTCTTCCACGTGACTTATAAGGCCAGATCCTCATCTATCTTCTGATAATCAAATTTGATTGGCTAAAAAATTATATATATGGGGCGGTCAATAGAAAAGGGGGAAATCTACAAATTTTGGGAAATTTTGAGTAATTTTAGTTATTAAGCTAGTTTTGTTCACATGACCATGATCAGCAGAGTGAAAATTTTTGACTAAAACGTGGATTTCCCCCTTTTCCTCCCATAAATTATATATATAATTTATTTAAGTTATAAATTTTATCAAAATAAAGAACTTCTAAAATATTTAAAATAAAAATAAAAAATTACTTCAAGGATGTATTTTTTTTAATAAAAATTCAGTAATAATTTACAATGATGATTTCTATATCATTGAATAGATAGATAGTTAATTAAAATAATAGTTAAATAAATAATAAATAAAATAATAAATAATATTATTTTTTATTCATAAAATTCTTTTGCTAAAAAAACTTTCAATAGAATTGAAACGAATAACATTAATAATAATTTACATTAGCCTAATGTAGTAATAATTTTATAAATTAAATTAAAAAACTGTATTTTTACATTCTTGCATTCTTTACATTTTCTTTTAAAATACTAAATCAATATGCTAAGTTTTTTAAAGATACTAAATTTAAGCAAAGATTTTTTATAAGTCACCTTAGGATTTATATAAAGAATTTTGTAATGCATATATATATTACAAATAAGTCATATTATGTAACTCAAAACTAAACTATGAAAATTTAATACAAAAATGTATAATTATTTAAAAAAAATAAAAAACACAATACTGCCTTATTAGAGATAAAATTTATGAATATTATAAAATCATTTCTTTTACTCTTCACTTATATCAAAGACTTTTTATATTATATAATATGACTAGACTACTAGTTCTAAAAATGTCAGCTATATCTATTACACATTCATTTCAATATAAGGATTAATTGATATTATAATAATATTAAAAAATAACATTTCACAATATAAAGTAGCTAGGCAATTCAATTTAGTCATAAAAAATATATTTGAATATTAATAAGTAATAAAAATACTATAGATAGTTTATTAAAAGATTTATTAATATTATAAATTGCTAAATAATAAAAAAATTGTATTAGAATAAAGTGTATGATTAAAAAAGTTAAAGTGTTATACTAAAATATAAGCAAAATTTGCAATAAAAAAAATAAAAAAAAAATTACTAGAAAAGAAAATTGTAAAAAGAAATGATACCTCAAGAAGATCACTTGTAGCTATAAGAAATTAGAATTTATGAAACAAGATCAATAATTACATTAAGTTTAGAATCACTCATGTTAAAAGAAAAAAAAGTTATTAAAGTTCATACAGTAAAGCATTAACATAAATCACTTAAAGAAAAATACAACATATACTTATCTTATCAATACTTATTGACTTATTTCTAACTCTATAATTAAAATACTTTTATTATGTATTATCATTATTATTTATTAAAAGGTAATCTTACTTATAATATGAATAAAATAAAATCTTATATAGATAAATATTATTGTCTAATTTCTATTAAAACTGCAAAAGTATTTGTTAAAGTTTTTACTAGTAAGGTAATTATTATCTCTAGAATAATAAAGTGAAGATTAAATTAGGTATTTTTGCAGTAAGTCATATATTTAAAACCATTCAAACTATTAATACATCAGTTATTATTAAAGATAATGATTTTCAGTTAATTTAAAAATGAAACCCATACTTTCTATTTATTTAATTATTAATCTAGCTGATTTAAGTAATACCTTACAAACTGGTCAGCTTTTTATATTTATTAAGTTAGAATACTTTATTTAATATTATCAACAACTTATATTGCGCATTTAGAAAGTATTATTTTAAGTGAAAAGTTTTTCACTACCCTAAAAAAAGAAGGAAAAGTTAGACTTATTTGGATTTTTCTTATTAATGGTAGATCTAATAAAATCTAAAATAATAAAGAATATTATTCAATATACTTATATTCTTAACTTGAATTATTTGAATATTTGTACTTATGCTTAGAGTTCCGGACGAGTCGAGTTAACTCACGAGTCAGATAAGCCGAGTCGAGTTTAAATCGAGTCGAGTTTATGTT